ATACATGATATGTTTACACTATATTGTCTCGCTTTAAAGTGGCCGATCTAAAAAGTCTGGATGGCTATTTACCAGTATATAATCGATCATACGCTGTAAATCCACTCTATGTCGTAGACAGAACGAGCTTACCGATAATGATAACGGGATTGCCGCAAATGATGAATAAAAGGTCGTATAAGGTCAGAACTATATCTCAAGACGAACTCCCTAAGTTCCAATAAAACCGCCCATATTTTTCAGAAGTGTATTATGTAACTTCAGCTACAGAATCGACAATGTGCGCGGTAGAACACATTAATATTGATACGATATTGTTCAAATTAGCATGATTAACGTGAATTCTGAAACGTAATTTATTTTCACGAATAAATATAATGTTAGCTCCAGTCATAGACCCTCAAACATACCATCGTATATTCTCCCCTTGGTTATATTGGGGTTAACGTTCCCAGACAAACTTGGTTTTAATTTCTCTGCCCGTAGCTATTCATTGTTGATTGTTCAGACGAGTCGCAACCAGCAGTTCAGTGTATGCACCAGGGAATTAAGTTATGTAAGGCATTATCTGATTATCCCCCCAGGGGAGGCGATGTCTTGAGATGTTGCACGTCATGTCGCGCGGGAGGTGTTCTAATCTAAAATTATAATGCGGATATCTAGCGCGGTGAGTACGTGTTTAGAAGCTAAAGTCTAGAAACACCTAAGACGTGTTGTCGAGCGAGGAAAGATGCCGTGTCCCATTGGAATAAGAGAGATCTATAGATTACATCGGCCTACTTCGAGATTGAGACGCCCTCCGGTGTTAAATAGGACCCTTGATCGGCTGATCACGTTTTTTCTGTCACCGGAAATCACGTGGTGGTAAGCCTTATAAGATGAATGCGTAACTTTTCAACATTTGACTTTCGTAATTGTTTGTGAGGTGGTCATGTGATTACAAACAAATGCTAAAAGTTGAGAGTTTGACCACCTATCTGCACTGCGCTCGCAATCACAGTCCTCTTGAGGGACTGTGTCGTAATCGACGAATGATATTACATGGCTGTGCCGCGGAACACGTGGTCAGAGGAAAAGTACAACTATTCAGTCATTTAAACATTGCTTCATCTGACGGGAGCCGTCTCATACCATTCACAACATTAAGCAAAAAAAAAAAAAAAAAAAAAAAGATTTTTATGGAAAGTTCATTTTTTCCCCAAATGTTTTAGAGAAATTCGTTTCCCCGTTTTGGCTGAAGCCATTCCCGGTCTTGGGTTACGTTGTATGAGCTATATTTAAGTAACGTTTTAACTGTGATCGTCATTGTTTAACGCTGTTTAGCTGTTATGCGCATTCCGATTGCAGCAAAAATTATATATATATATATACGTG